CAGCACACTCACAGCCTTGCCAGGCCGGGCCCAGGTGCAAATGAGTCCCTCCTGGCAGGCGGTGACGATACAATCCTCCAAGAAGAGCAGCACCGTCAACCGTTCATGGGCGATCTTCTTGCAGACGAGGGGTTCCAGCAGTGGCACCTCGTGAATCCGAGGGCACAGCGCGGTCCCCAGCACCTTGGCTGTATCCAGCCGTCCCCGGGATCCGGCACCGCTGGGAGGTTTCTCCCCGCTCCGGCTGATGTTACCCAAACTGTGGTAACGTTTGTGCTCTTTTTCAGCGCCCGAGGGTCCCTTACGTTCCTGCAATGTCAACGTGGCGAAGCGACCAACGCTGAGGGCTGGGGGGACGTCAGGCGGGGGGCCGCGGGCTGAGCCCGTCCCCGCTGGCTGCGGGAGGCTGTTGGAGCGGGAGAGTGAGCGGGGTAGCCCTGGCATGGGAATGCTGGTGTCCCCCGATCCAGTGAGGGTACGGGCACGGGAGAGGGGAGGCCGAGGGTAGAGGACGTCCTCGGTCAGGTCCCACAGGCAGAACTGGGTGTCCTGGCCAGCTGAGCCGAAGCGGTAGGTGACAGCGGGGGAGCGGCGGACAAGGGGATCGGGGGGCTCAACCTCCTCCTCACCCCCACTTAGCTCAGGGGGCTGGGGGGTCTGGGCTGCCTCGGTGAAGGGATCGAAGGCCACGGCGTTGACCCAAGACTTGTGACCGTGACCTCGAGCCACGACCCGCCCCTCGGCGAAGGACCAGACGGTCACCAGGTCGTCCTCACCCCCTGTCACCACGTAACGCCCGTCGGGGCTCCAACAGACGCAGAGCAACCCCCCGAAATAACTCTTCATCATCCCCTGCAGCAGCATGGAGTCGAAGTGGAAGACACGCAGGCAGCCGTCCTGGCTGACGCAGGCCAGCGAGCGCCCGTCCGGCGAGAAGGCGAATTCGTTAAGAGCCCCCTCGCCCACCACCCATTTGAGGAGGGGGTTTCGGGGGGTCTTGCTCTTACAGGCAAAGACGCTGAAGCCCTCTCCTTGCGTCAGGAGGTTGTACTGGGGGGCCGAGGCCCCGCAGGGCTGTTCGGCGTCGTACAGGTACAGGTGGCCGCTGGCGTGGGAAGCCAGGAAGAGCCGCTCCGTCTCTGGCAGCCATTTAACGAAGGTCACCTTCGTCTTGTCGATCAGGCGCTGTGGGGCAGGGGGAAAAAGGGGGGGGTCAGGGTGGTGGGATTGGGCCCCCGGGCACGTCTGGGGACAGATCGGCAGCACAGTGCATCCCCGGGGTGTTGCTGAGGGCAGAGCCCAAACTGGCACGTCTGGGGACACGAGTGCCATGGCACAACCCTGGGGTGTCACTGAGAGCAAAGCCAAAAAAGGGGCATCTGTGGACCCAAATCAATGTCACAGTGCAGCCCTGGGGCACCACTGAGGGCAAAGCCCAAAGCGGCATGTTTGGGGACACAACTGAGGGCTGAGGCACAACCCTGGGGTGTCACTCAGGGCGAAACCAAAAAAAGGGGCATTTGGGGACCTGAATCTGTGTCACAGCGCAGCGCTAGTGTCTTGCTGAGGGCAAAGGGGAAATGGCATTTGGGGACACGAAGTGGCACATTTGGGGACCCAAATCCACACCATGGTGCAGCCCCGGGACGTCACTGAGGGCAAAGCCCAAAGTGGCACATTTGGGGACACAAACAGGCATGTTTGGGGACACAACTGAGTGCTGTGGTACAACCCTGGGGTGTCACTGAGGGAAAAAGCCAAAAAAGGGGCATTTAGGGACCCGAATCAGTAGATTTGGGGACCCAAATCCACGTCACGGCGCAGGCCCAGGGTGTCACTAAGGACAAACCAAAACCAGCATGTTTAGGGACATGAGTGAGTGCATCTGGGGACATGAGCGAGGGCTGTGGCACAACCCTGGGGCACTGCCGAGGGCAAAACCCAAACCAGTGTGTTTGGGGACCTGAATTGGTGTATCTGGAGACCCAAATAGGCGTCATGGTGCAGCCCCCAACTCTCACTGGCAGTGCAACCATCGTGGACCCCTAATAAAGCCGGCCCCTAACGATCGCCGCCCCGGTAAAGCTGCTGTCTCTTGGTGGGAAGAAACCTCGGCCCTTCTGGCATCTCCCCATGCCCAACCATTGGCGTGGTGGCAGCTCCTGAGGCGGGGGGGTGGGCCCCCTTTGTGCCCCATCTCCCCAATGTGGGTGGGGCTCACCTCCTCATTAAAGAGCTTGCTGGTGTCCTTCTTAACGAGGTCGAGGTACTGGACCTGCCCGGCTGAGAAGCCAACCAGGAGAGCGATGGTGTCAGCGGCGGCAGTGAACTGGTTGAAGTCGTGGCAGGTCGGCTGCGTCCCCTTGTAAATGCGTTTGTCGATGGGCTTGTGCAGGTCCAGCGACTGCGGGGGGATGGGGACGTCACCATGGGGGAATGTCACCGTGGGGGGATGTGTCACTGAGGGGGACAACCCCCCCGTGCCCACCCTGCTACTTCTGGGGGGGGCCTTGTCACTGTCACACCACTGCCTGGCCTGGGCCAACCACCCTCCTGGGCTGGGCTCCAGTGTCACCAACGTCCCTGTGCATCCTGGGTCACCATTACCAGCCCCAGTGTCATCGTCCCCATTAGCAGGCAGCTCCTGGGGGTTCTGTGGTCACCATTACCAGCCAGCCCCGGTGTCACCATCCCTGTTAGCAGGTGGCTCCTGGGAGGGTCTGGGATCACCGTTACCGGCCCCGATGTCCCCATCCCCAGTTGCTAGACCGAAGCCCCGGTACCAGCCCCATGTTGTCCCCTTTAACGGCCCCGCTATCACCATCACCCACGGGCACCCACCACCACTCCGCCAGCCTCGCTGTCCCC